TMYYGGGYYYAWTWAKKAKCKSCATCTTTCGGAGGGCAAAAAAAAAACAATTTGACGCTATTCGACAATTCAAAACACAAAGCACCTTCAGTCAAAGGCGTGATGATCAGAAAATGTTTCTTGACGAATAAGACAGGGTTTATTGTGGCAGACCTGTGATGCGTTTCAAATTATTCACGGATTTATAATAGCTTCATCACTGGTCAAATTTGTGAAAAGATCGCATGAAAAAAGAAATGGATTTACAAGTTTAGCCATAACTTGCCCCTACTTTCAGTGAAAGAAAACCTTTGGGATAAGAGCGAGAGACCGTTTGTTTAGATGAAAAAAGCACAAGTTTGATCGACTCGAAGGGACGTAAAATTTCATCGTAAAAGGCGCTTACTTTCACTTACCTTAAGGTTTGTTAGCGACAATGAGATTTCAAATGGCATAACAGTCTTGATAGCAACACTTTCCTCCTATAAAGCGTATAAATCGAGAGAGTAGAGAAAGATGAGAGCAAGAAACCACTCAGTACTCGGGATTTTGTATTTACCAATAGAGCAATGTTCAACCGCTCTGTGATTGGTCCAAAACATTCCCGCCACTTTCTCAATCAATCAGTTGCAATCAAAAAACGAATCACGTTTTTCCGCCCTTTCTCCCCGCTGTTTTTACTTTCTAAGTTCTCATTGGATCCCAAAGGTATTTTTCTTTCTTCTGATTGGTCTTTGTGGTAACACTTTTCTTTTGGTTTTACTATACTCAATCGAAAAACGCACTATTTTATAGATAAAAGTGCAACAACATGAGAAAGCAAACAAGCATTAAAAGTAAACGTGGGAAAGTTATCGCCGTTTGTAATTTGGTTCAGTCCTGTTCTTGCTGTTAATTTTAATACTAAAAGAAAGCTTCACCTTTTCTTTGAGACAAAAACAAAAGTTCTCACCTTAGCACAAGTACAGGTGACTGGCGAAGAATTGGGTTCTACTTGGACATCTACGGTATAAGTAATCTGGATTTGGAAAAAAAAAAAACAAGCAAACGATGAAGGGGATTGGGCATGAAAAAAATAGGAATCTTTTTAAACAAAATAAGAAGTCTTAACTTAAAACTCAATCTTCAGAAAGTTAGAACATAGGAAAATTGCGTTTCCAAAGGTATTATAATCGAAACCTTTCAACTATGCACTGAACTGAACGCATAATCTGCAGAACATGAATAATATTTTAGCGTTTTTATGGCGAACGGAAGTCAGCGCGAGTGAAAAAAACCGGGGCGAAAAAAAACGCGTTCATCCCCTCGCGCTTGCCTCTGTTCACCCTTACAAGGTGAAAATAGTACGCCTGTTCCGTAGGCTACGTAGTGCTGGACAATTTGACTTGAGTTTTCTGTACAGACGCCCAAAGATTTGTGATTAAATTTGTGCCATTACAGTTGACTGAGGTACCATACCTTTGCTGTTACAGTCCGCGAACCTACTTGGGAACATTTAATGAAGTACGACCTCTCGATCTAGAACGTAAAGACGAAAGGGACACATGAACGATATAAAAGACGAGAATTGCGATTTATTGGCGTCAAAGCTTAATTTTTCTGCACACCAGAAAAACGAAGTAAACGTAATTCTTCATCCAACAGCATTAAGAGGAAAACAGATAATGCGCGTATCGAGTACAAAGATCCTGCGATCTTCTACGGTTATTTCGACTGTTGGTTGCTTTGTACTGCAAAAAATAACCTGTTTGACGAGTTGGTTATGCTTACGTGAAATGGTTCAAATGAGAAAAAGAATGGACGACATTTTCGTATAAATAAAGCAACTGGATAACACCAAAACGTCTAAAAATATATATGTTCAGCGTGAGCATTGAGGTTTGCAGAAGTTAAAATCCGTATTCATGCGCGGCCATATATCATCATCTTTATAACCCCAAATACCTTATCAGTTATTCCATCCACAGTAAAGTCCAAAAAGTTCGTTGCACCCCTCTCAACCATATCTGCCACGGGTACCTCTGAGTAAATCAAAGCGCCTAGAAATATAATTGACAGGCACTTGACATTGGGAACGACTGAGAAATCCACATAAAAATGTTCAGAAAGCAATTGCAATGGTTTTACTTTACTTCGCTGTGTGATTGGTCCAGAAATCTCGCGCCATTCTCTCCACCAATCAATGCAAAACTTCGATTTACTTGGAGTTCTGATTGGGTCTTACAAGGTATTTTCTTTCTTCTGATTGGAGGTTGAGATTACTCTGGTTTTGGTTTCACGTCACTTAATCAAAAACGATTTAGTGCTCTAACCTTCCGACAAAGGGAAACTTACGTGTCTTCCAACAAGGGGAAGGATTGCGCGTCTTCATCAACATGTTCGGGTAAACGTTTTTGTTTGAAAACACCCACCTCTTTCGGGAGATTCCGGCTCGTCCTGGAATCCAAGCCAGACTCTAAAAGAAGGTACATATTGTTGTAGTTGTAACGCGGGAAAGAGGAGTCAAATTTTGAGAAATCGACGAAAACATCCATTTCGTACTGTATACGAAAATGAGAGAAAGGCAAATAAAAGGCGTGAAAGCCTTACTTTCAAAAAATAGACTGGTTCAACTTTAACAAAAAGAAAACAAAAAACACTATCAAGGCATACCTGAGGTCTTTCACTGGCGTTTCTTCCAAACTCTCAACAACCAGTTGAAGTTCATAAAACTCGTTCACCAGGGCTGGTGGTTCATGCTTGAGTGTAATATTAACCCTAGGCTTGCGCGATTCAATCCTTGAAAAGAGAGATGGCAAAGGGAACTTGTATCAACATGGAATTCAACCCTACTGGAGTCGTGATTATTCATTTGATGAATTACTTTCCGAAGAACTCTCAAAGCCAATTGATAAAAAGCCTATGAGCAATTACTATAAACTGAAACGAATAGCGATCTTCGCGTGAGCTGACTGGCTAACGCGAAAGTAGCCTGATAGAGTAAGATTTTGGACCGCTGGTTTTCAGCATGTTTGGTATATACTAAGACAATAATTCACCTCCACGTCGGCGAATTATTGTTCAAATAGACTCCTCTCAGTAGCGACCAAACCTGAGAAGGAGGTAACTTACTGAAAATTATGCAAGACTTACTTAATTTTTGAGATGATCTTCAAATCATCCCAGTCAAACTGATCCTCCTTGCTGGCAGATTTTAAACCGTATGACACGAAGGGAGGGCTTAAGTTACCAGTCTCCCCTCCCCAGCCACTCCACACCAGTACGGCACACCGAGACTCGCGAGAACCCAGCTCCAGAGCAACAGAGGTGACCTGGGAACCACAACGAAGAAAGCTTCAATGAAATCTCTATTAAAGCCGTCTACCCTGGAAAGTTTTCCGTCAAAGTTTTCCCGTAACACCACCGAGAGATCAGGGTTGAGCCGTCGTTGGAATCACTAAGTAGCGTTCTTCGGCAAAATTATTTATTCTTACAGGAATGATAGAATGCTTGAAAGGGGGTATCCTACATTGGACTAGCAGTCTATCTTGTGGGGGGGAAGGGAGCAGCAATACTCAGTTGATAGCCTCTACAAAAAGACCATGAGCTTATCCTCTTTTGGCTACTAGTCTCGTATGCTGACTTCAACATTACCCTTTCATACCCATACATTATTGATAACAGCGAAAGACTAGTAAAGCGAAGTATTTATTTTCTTACCTGAAGTAGTTTTCCAACATCTTCGGGCTGGGGCACTAGTTGAAATGGTATCACTTTGGTCTTTGCTGGAAGAAGATACAGTCCACCCTCCCCTTGAGGGGATCCTGCCTCCACAACACACTGTTGGTTATAAAACTAAGACGCAAGATAAAAGAAAATTGAGATAGGCCAGCAAAAATGTAACCGAATTAGCAGCCAGAGTGTCACGATACCAGTTAGCTGAGGTAGTTACCTTGCTTTTGGCTTCAAGACACTATCAAAAAGTGCTCTATCGGTGTTTTATAACTAAAAATACGGCATCGGAAGAGTAAACTGTGCTTTCATAATTCGATGACACATAGTAACCCTAGCCTTTCACACATGGGAACATTTTACTTGCCTGATTGCTAAAGAAAACGGCAATCTTCGAGAAACGGATGGGAAAAGGGCAAGAAACCCTGAAAGATAAAAACACATAGCAATAGGAAATGTTCAGACTTATATTCAGAGCGATTTGCGATAGCAAACTGGAATTGCAATGGTTTTTCTTCGCTACGTTCTATGATTGGTCTAGACGATTCGCGCCTACCAATCTCTCGCGTTTTCCCGCGCCTCAGGCAGTTTGTTGATACTTTGCGTTCTCACTGTGATATCTTCCTTTGTCCTGATTGGCTATAAATGAAAAAGCGCCCTTGTAGGATCATTGAATCGTTGCCATGGTTAACAGAGCTAACAGCTCCAATGCAGAAAGTTTTGAGCCAAGGTTGTGGTTTGCGGTTCCTAATAGCTTCTTCTCAACCACATCTCCTTACTTTGATAATTTATAAAGCAGACAGTTAACGATAGTTAAGAGAATGGAACACTGAGGAATATCGTTTGATAGAACACGAAATTCTCAGGACTCATCAACAAAGGAATGAAATGTCTTTGGTTAGGAGAATTAATTAGCCTTTGAGATCATGCGAGTTCAGGCTATATGTAATTTTGGTTTAAGCGACTCTCATAAAACATTACAAACCTCAAATAAATTTGAAGAAGGATGGTTGAATCTGCTGTAGTTGAAACTGAATCGAATACTGCCTTGCATTCCACTGAGGAGAGAACAAAACATGATGGAAACAGAGATATCAAAATGTCAGACGATTCTTTGCCAAAGACAAATGAATTAATTAATATTTGGAATCTCAAATTTTCACCTCTCTTCCTCATTTCGAGCCTAGGTTCAATGGGTATTGTGGAAAAAGTATTTTTTTGTCCTTAAGATTTTGGTTCGTGTATTTCATCATAGGAAAATTCATTACCTGACGAGGGAATTGCACGTTAAATTGCACGCGAAAACCGATATCATATGAATCGCGAAGCCATGAGTGCGATATCGGTTTTCGCGTGCAAGTTAACGCGGAATTCACGAGTCGGGTAATGGATTTTCCTTGAATCGCAAATTAAATAAAAAAAGAAAACAACAGTAATGTTGTTTGTTTTATATCCTGAGCGCGAAACAAGAGATGAGAAAGAATATCACACCCTCGTTTTCAACACGCAATTCCACGCAAAATATCTCGCTTCGTTAATTCAATTATTTGATTCTATAGCAATAGCGCGATTCCATAGGAAAACACGATAGAGTTTATATTGCTAAATTCAGTTTTCCGTCTCCTTAGATGAATAGAAAATAAAAAAATACAAAAGCATGTTGACATTTTCCTACCAAATGGTGCTATCTGTTCCATCTGTATTGTAAACACTTGAGGTGCCTGTGGCGTCACTTTGAGTGTTTTCCATAGCTCTTTGGCTTCCTCCACTGAATCAAAGTCACAGCCTGGCTCGGGTTCAGGACATTCATTCTGTTTGAAATTCCAATAATAAAATAATGATACAGTAATGAGTTAAATAATCTTGACATTAAGTCTGCTTTCTATCCGCGGGAAACCTGAATTATATTTTTTACCACGACGATTTAGCTTGAACTGGGTAAGGAATAAACTCTAAGAAAAACTTTCATATAGAAACTTAGCTTTTGCCTTACGTACCAGTTTTCATCTTTTTGATGCTTTGTAACTTTGAAAGAATACAACAGAAAGACTTACCAAGGCCAGTTGAACACTTTTACGGGGTTGAATTATAAAATCATTGGTTATCCAAAAATAGGTGTCATTTCGTCACTAGCAGTTTCCATGGCAACGCTTCCATAGGCTTATTCAGACGCATTTTTTAGCTTGTGGCTTACTTAAGTAATTCGAAAACTAACCCGGTGACCCCGTGGTTTTTTTCAGTGATTGCTTTTGGCACTTGAAAAGGAAAATGCACAAAGATCTTTAAAATATTCTACGGAGCGGAATTTCAGAAAATCTAGAAAAGAGGCAATTTTCACACATCGCAAATTTCCTTCCGTAGAATTTTCTAGTTTTTTTTCTGATGATTCCTTTCGACGTTATTATCATATTGGAACAATAAAAAGAAGGGGTCACCGGACTTGTTTTCATGCAATGGCTTTCGCGAGTTTAGCAATTTCCACGCGCCTTCTCGCGCATTTAAAAATCTGGTTTCTATAAGATCGACATTTGCTCATGATCTGTTATAGCTACCGCTGACAATTGCGTGTGCTCGCGCGAGCGCCTACGCTCTGATGTTTGCAGACGTAAATTCGCGTTTACTGCTAAGAAAATCATTAAACAGCTGTCAAAGACAGCCTCTCGGGTTCATCTTAAAAATCTTACACGCGACTTCTGGCTACATCATATTATTTTCCTTGAAGTTTTAAAGTCTTCTTCCACTTCAGATAGATTATCCTTCACTTGAGTTCTTTTTTCGCCGTCGCAAGTTTTCAGATCGGTTGAATATTTCTCTTAGATGTGAAGTAAAGCAACCTTTACTTCTCCGAAAATCATCTTCTTTATCTTAGTTTCTATCTCCTGCATTCCCTGTGGCCGCTCAACACATTACATACACGCTCTTAGATAAACTTCTCACAAAAGTAAAAAAAAAATCCACGCGCCGCCATCTTTGTTTCTCTCGCGCGTCTTGCAAGAGTGACTTGTTCTCCGCGCGAGGAAACTGGTACTAGCCACCTTAAGGCCGTGCAAAGTTTTCACGGTTCACAACAAACCAGAAATATTTTTCACTAAATTCAGTTGCATTTCGTCTCATGCTTGTCCTGTAGCAAGCGCTCGGAGACAAAGCGAGTGGAACAAAGGCGAAAGACCAGTCACGCGGGAAGAAAGTTCTTATTCCCGCGCGTTCAGCCGCGCGCGTGCTTTCTCAGTCTAAATCACCCGCGACTGGTTTCAGAGTTGTAAAAACAGAGAAATTAGCTTAAATTCATTCTACGATGAAAATTCCCCCACAGGCCCTCTTTAAGCGACTATTTGAAGTAAGTCCTTACCGACATAACGTGAATGAGATTAGTTTGACATCTTGTTTTTTCTTCAGGTGAATTTTCAACATCTGATATTTTCTTGAATCAAGGACTTCTACCAATTACACAACAACACTCATATTTCGTAAGATGCTGTACTTAATCATCTACAATACAGTAAATTTGACTAAGAAATTTTCTGCACAGCTTAATACAACTACAAATATTAATATTCTTCTTTATAATCCAACAAGCATTTTTGCACGCGCTCCATTGGTCAAAACGCATCACGGGACCGAACATCCCCCAACTAAAACTTGGGGATATCCGACGAAATAACCCCAAGTGATATTTCCCAATCTTCAAACCTTACGTCCAATACCAAAAACTCTGCCCTTAAAATCTAATTTAAGATGAGAAACGTTGTGTGGTTGTTACAGAAGAAGGAACATACTTTTTTGCTCATAAAATCGTATCAAAGAACACTGAAAAGTGAACATCCCACGCCGTAAACGGTAAGCTGTTCGAAGACATTTTTCGCGCACGTCGAAAAATATTTGGAGGATAAAAACCAAAGTAGCCTCCACTTGGCACGAAAATATGCTCGTATATTTGTCCTTGAGCAAAATCTGTTCCTCGAAGCTCACAGTTTTCCTTGAGCTTCGCTCTCGGAAAACCGGTCGCATCTCGGATCAGGTAATGTCCGCAGATAAATATCCGTACGTATTTTCGCGTCAAATGGAGGCTCTTGTTTAATATATAACTCCCTCAAAATCGTTAAAATGTGCAAATTTTGGCAACCTAACTAGTTAGCTACCCTTAAGTACCTTATGTTTTAAAGGCACTTTTCATTCTCTCGGCCTTACTTGGAAATCGCCTTAAGCAGGATCTTATTCAAAGATTGCCGTTGCACTATTCCTCTTAAATCTAGCACCACATAGTTAAATAATTAAAGGCTGGGCGCTTATCAACTATTCTTACCGATAGGGTTGGCGCCCATTCAAAGTGTGCGGTTAATCGAATAAATATGGTAAAATTAGCTATGGTTTAACCAAACACAATCGAAATACGCTGAACTAGCAGTTTAACTGTTCAGTTCGCCAAGACAAAATGCTACATTTAGTTATTTGAATGAAAAGCAGGATTTTTAAGGATACATCTTCCCATCAATTCCAGCGAAAGGGTGATATATTCTTCCACATTGCCAACCAAGTATGCACACCTACAATAAGAGTAAGGAGGACTAAGAATGTATGAACAAAGAAATAAATCTAAAACTTGAACTTGCAAAAGAAACACTGTTTTGAATGTTCTAGCCCCAAAATTGCTATTCATAAACAACCCCTTGCAATAATTAAACGTCAAACAAGAAGACAAACTTTGATTTTAGGCACTCAGGAGTCAAACTAAACAGACGTGGAATTATTTTGTTTGTCCGAGTTGTGTCTGCGATGTAAATGAACCAACCTTCCACCGACCTCAACAGAGTATCACTGATTCTAATGATAGCAGGCTTTTCGATCGCGTCGTAAAACCAAAACCAAAGTTAATACGACAGCCAATCACAGTAAAGGGGAATTTCACAAGGAACCAATCATAGCTTAGAGTGAAAACAAGTAAACTACCTAAAGCGCGGGAAAACGCGAGTGACCAAAGCGCGATTGATTTCAGTTTTGCGTCAAATTAGTTGATAGGATGGTGCGAGTTTTCTGGACCAATCATAGTGCGAACTAATGCAAAACTAAAGCAATCCTGGCTAATTTTCCAAACTCAATTGAAAATTATTTCCCCTTGGGTTCGCGGGGAGTACAAATCTTGTCGCACTAACCACAAAAAAACTTTACCTCAGTGATGTGATTAAAACTGAAGTAAGAAGTGACCACCACTTTTCTCTGCGGTAATCCCACGTGACTTTTCCCAACAACCTAAAATAGCCACACAATGACAGTAGTGACAAACTCAACTACTATTAATATTAAACGTCGTGTAATATTCTAACTTAGGAGCGACTCCAGAAGACAATTAGGTAATTATCCTCAATAACTTACATAAGCCCTCTACAATCTATATCTTAGCATACCACTGACATAAATTCACATTTGTCTCCAAATCTCCTCGAAATGAACAATCTTCAACAGTAGCTCTCTCTTGGTACAGCTTTCCAAACAGTCGGTCACTCCCGACAACAACAACAACAACAACAACAACTATTACTACACGACCGAGTCTCATAAACATCTACAAGGTATTACAGAACATTCCAGACGCTTACAACATAACTACTTGGGTAGTATTACATCATAACTACAAACCCTAACAGAATCTTCCAGAAAGTTCTATAGAAAATTCATACATGTAAGTCAGCATAACTGCTAGGCATTCTAGTTATTTTTACAGTCGCTATCCATAACAACTTGCGTAAGCTTAGTCAGAGGAATTGGTAGGTGGAGGGGAGAGTTAACCATCAGATCTTAAGAGTTAAAGGGTTAACAATGCTAATGAACAACCTAAAGAGCAGGAAGAAGAAAGAAAAACTTAATCACAATAGGATTTAGTTCAGCACCTTACTAAAAGACACGATGGCTGGAGTTTCTAAATCAATCATATGGAGTGGTGAAAGCTCCAATGCAATACTGGACCACTATTGATTCTAAACTAAAACTTTCCCTCATGCTACACTCACAATAAGGCTTTACTGTAATCCCTAGCATGGTAGTACTCCTCGCCCATTTGAACCACTGCAAAATTAAAAGAGAAACGTCTCGTTGTTGTTCACTGAGTAAAGTTTCTGTCAGGTTATTATAATTACGGTGTGGTCCATTTGATAGATAATGCCCATGGTTGTCATTAGAAGCCGTTAACCAGCAGTAACTTGCTGCCTGTAACACCATTATGCGCCAGCTTCTTTGTGAATTATGATCAGGGTCAGAAAAAAATATATTTAAACTGATTCTAACGTCATTGTCTGGTTAAAAGGCTACTCAAATATGCCCCACGATGCTGGAAATCATGTTTCAGAGAATTTCAATATTCAAATTTTTCTGCAAGAGCATGCACCAAGCCCCGCTAAATAGGCATGTTTCTTTGCATGCTTTGCAACACACCTTGGTTGCTATGCAAGTATAATTCATAAGCTCAATTCAGATCTATTACATGTTCTAATGACAACGCTGAATACCCCCAAATTTTCCATAATGAAGAATCAAAGGAGGATCAAGAGTTTGTTCGAACAAAACAGATCAAGTTAATTATAACCTGGAAGATTGGTTATGAATGGAGAAAATGAACTAGGGCCCGTTTTTCGAAAGGTCCAGTAACTTAATGGGCCAAAAGCCATATTTTAAAATGAAAATTTAGAGAATTGAGAATAGTTCCTGGCTCCCCAACCAGTCCATTTTGTTTCTTTAGCTGACATTTCATTGTATCATTTTCAAACTTTTTGAAACTCCAATGATCTTGAATGAAACAGAACAGCTTTAGAGGCCTGTTAAGTTACTAGGGCCCTCTAAGAAATGCCCCCTTACCTATCTTTTTGTAAAACAAGGGTAAAAGGAAAGTGACACGGTAAATGTGTTGCAGAGGTCTCATCAATTCCCATAAAACTTGCCTTTGTAAACAACACTAATCAAATGGAATTCATGAAATCAAAGCATAACTTTTAATAGCACTAGCTACACCATTACAAGAAAACAAAAGCAGAGCTTTTAGTTGCATCTTGTAAACTTTTAAAGTAAAAAAGGTAAAGGTGAAGCCTGCTTATGAGCCAAGTGGCCCATTGGGCTGGTACTCAACTCCAGTTTCCGTAGTATGAAGCACCTAGGAGTATTTCTACTCCTCCCTAGATGCAACACTAGTCCATCTCAGAGTTACCCCCAGCAATAAATTCGCTGGTACCCATTTGATTCTCCTGGGTGAAGAGAGGCACTGTGAGAGTAAAGTGTCTTGCCCAAGAACACAACACAATGTCCCAGGCCAGGGCTCAAACCCGGACCACTCAACCGGAGTAGAGCGCGCTCACCATGAGGCCAGCACACCTCTCAACTTACTCAGGTATCTTTTCATCCTAGGCGACTTGTACTTTTTAAACTGTGCCACTGCACTACTGAGAAGGGGAATTATAATCCACTGCAAGAAAAAAAGAGTAGCCAATAATACCTCAACCAAATATACAAAGCAAGTTATCATAAATAAAGAGATATATGGTAACCCTATTTCCCAAAAAGGTTCATAAAATTTTCAAGAAAGTATGTGCGTTCTCATTGCTTGATAAGTGTGTTTAGACAAGAGTCCCTGAACATGGTTGTAATATTACCCTTCTCTCTGGTTAATGATCAAAATTACTATAGTAACAGACCATTACATACTGGAATTTTGAAGCCCTTGCAAGGAGCAACTTTTATTAGCAGATCCCCTACTTCATAATTTATTGTCAAAGATTTGATAATCTGGTGCTAGGCCATGGATGCACTTGTGTACATGCAAAAATGTACAGTTCTATCTCAACCTGCATTTTACCTAAATTTTTTGGCACAACTTAAATCATCTCTAACCCAACTTATCTCTGACATTTCCCTGGCCTTAATGTTTCCCAAAATGAAAGTTTGCAATGTTGCATAACCTCCACCCACATTTCATGGGCCAGGATCTTCCAAACACTAGAGTGCACTTACTGAATGGTCCACCTGTATTTCTTGAGATTGTAAGGCTATAATTCCAGCCTTTTCTAACACTAGAGTGCACTTACTGAATGGTCCACCTGTATTTCTTGAGATTGTAAGGCTATAATTCCAGCCTTTTCTAACACTAGAGTGCACTTACTGAATGGTCCACCTGTATTTCTTGAGATTGTAAGGCTATAATTCCAGCCTTTTCTAACACTAGAGTGCACTTACTGAATGGTCCACCTGTATTTCTTGAGATTGTAAGGCTATAATTCCAGCCTTTTCTAACACTAGAGTGCACTTACTGAATGGTCCACCTGTATTTCTTGAGATTGTAAGGCTATAATTCCAGCCTTTTCTAACACTAGAGTGCACTTACTGAATGGTCCACCTGTATTTCTTGAGATTGTAAGGCTATAATTCCAGCCTTTTCTAACACTAGAGTGCACTTACTGAATGGTCCACCTGTATTTCTTGAGATTGTAAGGCTATAATTCCAGCCTTTTCTAACACTAGAGTGCACTTACTGAATGGTCCACCTGTATTTCTTGAGATTGTAAGGCTATAATTCCAGCCTTTTCTAACACTAGAGTGCACTTACTGAATGGTCCACCTGTATTTCTTGAGATTGTAAGGCTATAATTCCAGCCTTTTCTA